AATTGCCTTGTGCTAAGAACTGGAAGTCCTGCCTCCATGTCTGCATGTCTCCCCACACCTCCAGGAGCAGTGATAATGAGATTTAGTCATGAAACCCCACCATTGTGGAAATGCCTTCCAATGCTCATTCAAAAAGGAAAGTACCTAAATTAATGCTTTCAGCCTGGCAGAAGCAGGGCACGGGAACCAAGATAGCCATCAAACTGCAAGCCACTGATGCTCCACAGAGGCAAGGACAGGGATCACAGAGTCATATTAAACAGCCAAGCCTACAGCATTTTCAGCTGCAAAGCTGTGTTTCAATTAAAAGGCAAAGAAAAAGATGCAATTAGAGGGTCTGTCAGTAGGAAGCATGAACAACAGTAGAACAAAGAATTTGACTGGGCTTGGTCACCATTTAATAAAAGCTGATTTTGAAAGAGAAAACGTCCATACTGCACAGATGAATGAGGGTGGCACAATGGAATTATAGTTACCAGGAGAGTAGCAAGACAAAGGCCATCACAAACCTCCCTCAAAGAGAAAGAGATCTATTGAGCTAAAAAATTCTTCTATGCAAAATATTGGAAGTGACACACCAACTAGAACATTAACTCTGGAAAATATATAATAGTGTCCCATCTTGTGTTTGACCTCCTGGATAGATTAGATGGACTAAAACAATTTTCCCATTCTTCAGGTTCTGAGGTGCTCTAATTCAAGGATAAACACATGCAGATGGAAGAAAAACACATTGACATGTCAGCACAGAGCTTCTTCCAAAATGAACAAAAAAAAAAAAAAAAGAGAGAAAACAAATCTTATTTAAAGCTTCACAAAGAAATCTGTTTCCCACTGTAACAGCTCCCTGGTGTGCAAAGCGCCACACTCAGTGAATAAGTTGATCAGTTTGTCTCTCAGTGAGACAAGCGCAGCAAATCAATAATGACCTTGCCTTAAAGAATTAAAGCCTGACTGGAGCACTGCTGGCTTATAGCTGTCCTTAACTCCTATGAATTGCCCTGCGGTAAAGCCAAAAGCCATGAAAATACGCTCATATTGTCAGTGCACTAGCAGCACATGCAGACTGCAGAGCAGGGCCTTCCACTGCCCTTACCCTTCTGAGCCCCCTACCAGCTGTGAACAGCTTTCCACCATGGCTCCTGCTGTTTAGGCACAGCATGGAATAGCCAGCTGGAGCAGTGGTTGGGTGCCCTACAACTACACGACCGAGTCAGACTCCAGCTAGAAATCCTTCTAGTTCACCTTGGTGTTAAACTGCAATGATGGTATCTTCATGCATCAATGGAGTAACCTGTTCTCTTTTGGCTTGATAGCAATGTGCCCATCCACCTGCAGTCGCTGCACCGCTCTCTTAAGGAGTCAAGTCTTGCACCCCACGCTGTCAGGGCATTTCCAAGAGGGCAGATCCATTGCCCTGACAATCGGCTACCTGCAGGGCCTCTCTCTTTCTTCCTATGATTTGTTTGAGATGATGTGGAGTAGCAGAGTTCAGGCTGTTTTCAGTGAAAGATGTCTTCTTTGCCTCTCATAAACTAGGTGCAAATATTCAAGAATAGTTTAACTTCTATTGCTGTCAAATTTCAGCACCTGTTAATCCCTAAACCTTCCAGGTTAAACCAATCTAGCACAGTTAGACAATCATACAATCAAATGAGATAATCTGGCTCCCATACATAATGTTCTGAGCCACCCATTCCTACCGCTTCCTTTCTGCCAGCACTGTTGCTGTCTACCTTCTTAGAGACCTAGTTCAGGGAGTTAAATGGGGAGAAAACAGTTCACTTCTGTCTGTAGAGTTTCCTTACTGCCCATTTAACTCCCTGAACCAGATTACCATCTGTGCAGGCAAGCAGCAATGCAAAAGAGAGTATGTATAGAATAAGATGTAAGTACATAATTAATTGTAATTAATTACAACAACTAAATATGTATTATTCTCAAGTATTAATAAAACTAATATACAGATTGATACAGAGAGGGGAGAACAGGATATTTTCACTGGTTTTAGTAGCAACTGGCCTCTGGATTGCCTATAAACCTTACCTATGGTGCTGGCAATGCTGCATTAATAATGAGGAAGAAAAGATTCTGCTTCAAGCTACATAAAAGCCCTTTACAAACCAGCAGCTTAAATGTAATTGTGGTAGAATTACACCACTGATATTCCTTCATAAGGTGACCAGCTCTGTGAACAGTGAGAAAGTACAAAACCAAACAAATCCATAGCTGGCAATTACTCCAAACACCTGTACCAACCAGGCTCATTAAAAGTAATTGGGAGGCATGTAAATGATGTTCTACCATTAACCTGGCTCAATTATTCAGAGTTGGTGTGTCAAGCTTTTAATCAGCTACAAAGGCAGCATTGCCAGATGCTTTTTCTGAGAGAAAATGATAAAGGTGGGGGGAAAGCATGCTGCCATGTAACTCCACATTGTGCCAGACCAAAAGGAGCACTCATAATGGAATAATGCAAAAAGATTCTAAAAAAAGGGGTCACTCCTATGTTCTTTTAAAGGTCTGGGTTTATACATGTCCTGGTTTCAGCTGGGACAGAGTTAATTGTCTTCCTAGTAGCTGGTATAGTGCTATGTTTTGAGTTTGGTATGAGAAGAATGTTGATAACACACTGATGTTTTCAGTTGTTGCTAAGTAGTGTTTAGACTAAGTCAAGGATTTTTCAGCTTCTCATGCCCAGCCAGCAAGAAGACTGGAGGGGCACAAGAAGTTGGGAGGGGACACAGCCAGGGCAGCTGACCCAAACTGGCCAAAGGGGTATTCCATACCGTGTGACATCATGTCCAGTATATAAATTGGGGGGAGTCGGGGTGGGGATCGCCGCTTGAGGACTAACTGGGTGTCAGTCAGAGGGTGGTGAGCAATTGCGTTGTCCATCACCTGTATATTCCAATCCTTTTATTATTACTATTGTCGTTTTATTATTGTTACTACTATCACTATTATTTTCTTCCTTTCTGTCCTGTTAAACTGTTCTTATCTCAACCCACAAGTTTTCTTTTTTTTCCAATTCTCTCCCCCATCCCACTGGGTGGGGAGGAAGTGAGTGAGCAGCTGCGTGATGCTTAGTTGCTGGCTGGGGTTGAACCATGACAATACACAAGGACTTCAGTGGTGGAACTCAATTGTTCTGTCCCTCTGAAACCAGTTCTCACCCTTTTAAGACCTCAGTCTTAAAACCTTGGCCAGATTCTGCCCTGTGATTTGCATGGGCCCCTGCGACATTGGAGGGGAGACACGCATCTAACTTTGCCTTCTGACTCTGGGGTTACTTCTGCCCAGTGAGCAGTTCTCAGCTTAAAGGAAAGGGGTAAGTCAGGGCTGGATATGTGCTGGGGACACTTCTGCCTCTCCTGGGCTCGCGTGCCAAAGGCCATCACTTACTGAATGACTGTTGTTTGGCAGTCTGGATGGAAAGGCTTTCTGGTTTGCTACTAGCTGAGAGGAGCACACGTGGGAAAACTCCTTCAGAAAACAAAACTTGGAGGAGATGCTGACTGCAATTTTCAAGGAGCGCCAAGGATACAGACATGCCTGCTCCACTGGGTTCAAGGAGATTTGGGAACCAAATGCCTTCAGGTCTCTTTGAATATCCCAGGTGGGAACCAGAAGACTCCTTTCTCCCATGAGCTGACTTATCATCTTTATACGTGATCTGTGTGTCTCCTTACATAACTTTTTAAAAGCCCATCAGCATATCACCTCAGCATGTGGCAATGGAAAACTGCAATAGCAAGAGGTGACGGAGGGTTAAGGTGGTGGTGGTGGGGAAATAATATTTTCTTTAATAGGACCACTGTCAGCCTTACTGCTCGCAGCAGTTCTTTCACACCTCTGCTGCTGGATAGAGCGTTTTCTGATTGTGGGCTCAAGGCAGATTTCATTTACCCTGGTGAACGGAATGACCTTAATTTCTTTCAGCCTCCCTGAAGTAGTTCCAGATTTATTCTGAGGCAAGGGGAGAATCTGATCCTAACTTTTTGAAAACAAATGAGTTTACTACACCCTGGGAATTTTCAAATATGACACATCCATCAGTTTTCCTTTCTGACTAACATTTGGCAAAATGTAACTGTCAAAACTTTTTAATTCAAACCAAATCATTTGTTATTTGTTCCAAGCCACATATTAAATGTCAGTGACAAAAGTTTCCATACAGCCTTTGTGGGTTCGCACGCATAGCTACCCTATGACCTACACCAAGGAACAGCCCTGGAGCTTGGAGGAGCTTAAATCCACAGAGGCGAGGGTGTGAAAACACAGCTGGACCCAGCAGCTTCTGCTGTTGCAGTAAATCCCACTTTGCCCCTCTGCACATCCCTCTAGCCTTAGAGTCTTTAGAGGTGAAATCATGAGCTCTCCTTCTCAATGCAGTTCTTTTTTTGGCGCTAAAAATCCCTCTGAGGCAAGGACAGTTTGGCATATTTTCCCTGTCTGACCATCAAGCTCTTAAAAAATTAAGTTATTAATCATCTAAACATTCACCTCTGCTGTACTACGGCTTTCTGGCCAGAAAGTCCCATAGGTGGTTATTTCAAATATTACTCTGCTTCCATTGAAGACTTTTGAATTTAAAAAAATCTGAAGTATGGACAAATGCACCTTGTGATAATTACTGCCTAGCACTATACTTTTAAAGCAGTCAGCTGAGCTTCTAGTTTATATTTCACTAATTTGCTTACTTGGTAAAAAAAAAAAACCAACAACAACAAAAAACCAAACCCCACACTCATCATGTGGTTTATCTGAGGTCTACACACACAGCAAAGCATTGCTTGCAAGGAGGAAGAGAAGTTTGCAGCAAAATTGTTTTGTAACAGATGTATCAATGGAAAAAGTTAGTAACTGGGAGTGTTCTCTCTTTCCCTGTCTCGCAGTTGCTATTAGTGCTGGTCTTTAGGGTGTAGCTTTCCTCTTGGGCTTCTGTGTTTGTTTTACGTATTGTTTTCCTCTTCCTTTTGGTCAGGAGTCTTTTTATGATCCGGCAAGATAATACTGAGCAGCAGCACCGCATCTGCAGGACAAAATGAGCCTTTGCTTTAAATATCCAAGAGACAAATGGAGGTAAGTAGAAACAAATGGATTAAGCTGTTTGGGCTGGGGAATTGCTGTCAGTTTGTTATTCGGAAGTTATTAACAACTAGTATGTTGGATTTGTTTTGGTTTTTTTCCTCTATTTGACTGCAATGTTAAGAATTTAGCTAAAGTCCGGCATGGAAATATACTGAAGTTGTAACTGCGTTCAGGCCTTTGGTAGGGATTACAGAGTTCGTTAGGACAGAAATCCTTTAAGCAGGGTTTCCTAGGCCTTCATGGCAGACCTTAAACACATTTTCCTTCCTCCTCTTTCCTCATCTTGCAAAGCGTCTCTGTACTTCTGATTCACTGTGCACACTATACCTAATCAGAGAGTTTATCCTGCTCCTGTTACCTTCCTGTATTTCATATATATTACAGAGGTTGTATTTGCTCAGCTGTATTGAATCCTATTATAAAAGCAGGGTGCAGAGGGTAGTTTCTGGATGCACAATGAATCTCTCTAACAAAATATAGCACCTGCTCTGCTGGAAGTAGCAATGTGAAGCCAGAGTTGACAGGGTAAGTGATCCCACTTCATAATCCTATAATGTTGATACAATTTGGTGGTACCAGCATAAAAGAGATACTCAGAGCTAAGCTGGACTTTGAGATAAATTGAAAATGGTGTCTTTAAAGGAAAACCACTCAGTACAAGATTTGATGACATGCAGATCTTTGACTCATAGGGTGTCATATCTGGCAGTTAGGTGGATGAAAATAGTCTTCTTTATTGTGTTGTACGAAGGCGGCGAATATTTCAGTTTAGAGAAGAAAGGGGTGCATGTCCAAACAAGACTCCACATGTGCATCAAGAGCAGGCAATAAAAGACTAAATATTCTTGACAGTCCTTCTTTCTGTTTTCTAAATTATCTTTTAAGAATCTTTAAATTTACTGAGATGGAGGTTTTTTTCTGTACTGTTCAGTGAATACTTCTAATATCAAACCTTAAGTTACATTAGTTTTGCATGCACACCTATGGTCTGTTTTTGGTCTCCAACTGCATTATCATGGTTTTTAGAGCCAGGTTTCCAGACTCAACTGCCAAAAAAGAAATCACTGTTATTTACTGTTTACTGATCATTCAATCTTATGTCTATTTAAAAGTTTTCTAGGAAAATATTGATAGCAAACAATTACAGGTCAGAGACCACAAGGTTAGTTCATATATGAAATAGAATGGACGTTTTCTCAAATATTTTGTAGAATCAACAAACTTTTTAGATTAGTTTCTTCTTCTGTTCACATAGACCACACACTACGGTTCCTCATGCTGTGAAGTACCAGAAAGCGGAGTTGCATTTTGGTGCATGAAGGACATGTAACTTATGAGAGGACATTAGCTCCATAGAGAGCAACAACCTTGAAGTGGGGATATATGAATTATCTTTCTGTTGGTCACATTACCTCTGGCTCCTCCCATTCTCCTCCTGCCTGACCTCCTCTCCCATGTAGACCCAAAGCTCCTTGGGGCAGGGACCTTCCCTGACTGGGTGTTCATACAGTGCTTGCAAAAGTCTTGCTCTTACATAGCAGCATAGCACAGATAATAAACCAAATGTGCTGGCTTTATTCATCCCTTTCCATAGCAAAAAAGTTCACTAAAGTTGATGGAAGTTTTTACATGGCAGTACCAGACCTTAAAGTATGACTGTCAGTTCGTTGGTTTCATGGAAACACTGAGCTAAACTGCATTTATGTTGGCAAACCCATGCCCAGAGAGCTGAGTCACTCTGCGCAAAGCAGCAGCTATGGCTCTTAGAAGATTTGCTTTTCCAAAGTACAACCTTCCTCTTCCACCAAGGCCTCCAGTATGCTTCTTGCTGCAGATGTTTGCTTTTCATACACTGCACTGAGACAAAAACAGAGGCAGTTAGACTTCCAAGCTATCACACTGGTAACAAGGGAAGAGAGAGAAAGTCCTGTGTCAGGAACAAACCCAGAAGACAGGCCTGGGTTATGTTTAGAACTTTGAACCACTAATACAAAGAAACAGGGATGTAGGATCATTATTAACCTGTATAGTTATTTTCACACCCTGACTTTAAACTTAGATATACCAGTAGTATTTCTACTGCCTTTTCAGTTTCTCTTTTTGCACAGCTTGAAATGCTGCTCACAGCCTGTGTAAAATCTGAAGGGGCAGGTTTGGGACACATGGAAATAAACTGCTGCAGTCATCAAAGCCACATCAAGGTACTCGAGGGGAAGTAGGACCAGTTACCCCTTCTCTCCTGAACTCTCAGCTAGAGCACAGACCTTGGATTTCTGCTATGAGCAGTTCATACTCACAAGTCCCTCTGCTCCTGAGTTATCCTAGCTGGATTTCTAAAACAAAAAGGCAGAATCATGCTAATTGTAGAATCCAGAAGCTAAGAAAAATAATATGCAAAGAAGAGTACACAAAACAATATCCACCTGTAAAATAAAAATGTGCTGGGAGTCACTGGAGAATAAAGAGAAAGAAACACTAGAGCAGCCAACTAGAAAAAAAAAGGCCAGCATAATACTCAATAGTCACAGGAGGATCAAAAATAAAATAAAACTACTTTGAAACCTCTCAAATGGAATACACTGCAGAAGAGCTGACTGGTCCCAAAGCAAGCTGTCAGAATGGCATAATGAAGGCAGCAGGCAAATTTAAACAGGATGTATCTTAAAAACAAGGAAAAAATATTCCTATAAGCAACATCTGAAATGTCAGAAAGTAAAATACTTTCAAAAGAAAAACATTGGGAATGGGCAAAAACTGAATTTGAAAGTCTTCCATCCAGTTTTCTACTAACCACTGCTGGATATTTGACAGCCTTTTAAATTATTTCTCAAGCCCATTTTAAAAAAAAAAAAAAAAAAAAAAAGTTTGCTTTCCCATCCCCTCAATTAGAGAAAAATCATCACATCTTTTTATGTTGAGAGTTAGCTGATGAATGTCATGTCATGTATCACTGCCTCTGCATCTGACAAGAATCAAAGGAGAGATTTTGAAATGCAAGTGTCTTTGAACTGCTAATTATGCTTAACAAAGAAAGTGTTTCAGTTGTTGTTTCTTAATGAAATTTCTGCTTTTACCGAAAAGGTTTTTCTGCCACCTTATTTCTCGACAGTATGAAGCTATGTTGAAACCAACAGTAATCTATTTATTCCTGATTATACTGTGATGTTTAAAAAAGTGGGAAAATGTCCAGTCTTTCTTGCAAATCTGAAGCTTCTGATGATTTTTTGAGAAATACTGGCAAAGGTAACCCTCTGATAGAGATTTTGTTCTTTTGGATACATGTGTAGACATTAAAAACATCTGTGAAAGTTCTGAGTGTGAGAGTAGGATTTCAGCTCAATTTCACTGCCCCCAGGAATTTCTCTTCTTAATTTCTTCTTCCTCAACTCTCTCTTTGGGGCCTTATTCTGAGAGGGATTTAAATACCCAGACAAAAGCTGCACTCAACCAAACTACTCAAACAAGACCAATCACCAAACAGGAGGATAAGATATAGGGAGAAAAAGACAATAAGTGGTAGGCCAACAATTCGACATTGTCTCTAATTCCACCACATTCAAGTACTTTGGATAAGATTCAGAAAAAGCCAACACCCCCACCCCCAGCCCAGAAAAAAAAGCCAACCCCCCCCCCCCCCCCCCCCCCCCCCCCCCCCCCCCGGAAAAAAAAAAACAACAACCAAACAAACAGCAAACACCCAGACTTCAGTGCAACTCCTCAGAGCCTCAAATCTTTTGACTTGCATCCTTCTCTAATTTTAATGCTTCTTAAGTAAGGCCAAAAAGTGAAACTGTAGGACTCTTGGGTTAGGAAGCAAGTAATATGTATGTCTACTCTGCTGGGCACAGGGAGTTTTGATCTGCCAGAGAAGAGTTTGTTTTGTATGATCAACATCAGGCTATATCTTGCAAATTAGGAAGCTTCAGGCTAGGGAAATACTGGAATATGAGGCTATGAAGAAAGTCCAACTGATGTAGAGAGCTGCTGGTAAGTCGGGAATTGATGGTAAAACCTGCAGTACCTGGTATGGATAAACAAGTTTTATACTGTTACTCTCTATCACTGGAATCATGGATTTTCCCAGGGTTAAGCAGAGCAGATTCACAATAATTTTTAAAAATTTAAATATTCTCTGATTTATATTCCATGAACTGAAGAAGGGAGTATAAGATTTGTGCTAGCTCCTCAGACTGTAAAAGACACCGTAAGTTCAAGAGGGTTGATTCTCATTTTCCTTATATCTACTTTAAAACAGCTTTACACATACAGGCTGAATAAAAATGACAGTCAGGCCTATTAACTAGTTTACAATTGCTCCTTTCCATTGCCAGTTTGTCCCCCATCTTCCTGTGAAGTACACAGATTTGGAAAAATGTTTAAAACATATAATAAATAGTACAATTCAGAAACTGCATAAATGGTAACATCCAAGAGTCAACTGCTCTTCATCGTTAAATAAGAGGGCATTCAGAGACACTGCCATGCAGCAGAGCCTGGGATTAGCTCTGAATTGCCTCTTCTGTGAAAACCTCTTCCCGCTGTTTTATCTCATCCATTTACAAACATTCTTCCTTTCCACCCACTTGCAGTCCCCGCAAGAGTGTTTAGGAGTTCAGCTCATTTGGCTGGGATTAAGATGTGGACATTTGCTATTAAAAAAAAAAAAAAAAAAAAAATCCATAATGTGCTGACGGTATGCTTACATGTTCTGTTACTCTAGCACTGACTGGTTTGAACACGATGAGGGTGCCAGCTTGATAGCACCGGTAGGATGCTAGGTTGAAGGAAGCAATTTGGTGCCATTCCCAATAGGTGCTGGGGAGAAATAACTGGACCTGAAGTGTGGAAGAGGCTCACCGAGGAACATGTGGCAACCTTCTCCTAATGACTGCAGCACTGAGCCTGGGGGTGGGGAGTGCTTTGGGGAGAAACTTTGTCCCCGTCCATAAAAAATGTGCTCAAGGACGAAAAGTAGAAGGAAAAGAAAAGGG